CTAATACCAACTAAAATTGTTACATACCTTCTGATAAAAAGTCTCCGTCTTGAGGTAGGTTACGTTGGTCGATACGATCCAATCCCCATGACAACTCTGCAGTTTTCATTGTTGCATCTTGAACTACCGAGTCCACCATTCTATTTCTAGCGATCTAGAATGACGCAGAAATATTTAAAGTCAGCCTCGCAAAGATAAAATGTTTTTGATATGTTCATGTACAACTGATTTTTCCAAAGACACACCAAGCATTGATAAAACACTTGTGAATGGTTAATGAGGTACATATTTTTGAATATTATTTAAAAAACGAGGAAAAGGAGGCGTAACTACCCTTTTTTTCAACATTAATTTTTGTCCCAGTTCTGTATATCATTAACTGTTCGCAAGTTGCTGGTCAAAGTATGCAAATATGCATTTTGTGCCTTTAGTTAACAAGATATCACTTTTTTTTCCTGCATGGCCTGACATTGAGCCTTTGTTTTGTTATATACCGTACCGTAGTTTATTAGAACTAACGAACAAAATTTGCAACTGATTTTTAAATACGATTGTTTATTTATTTTTTTTTAATCTTTTCGATTGTTTTTATAATTATATAGTGTTCTGTAAATGTGTGCTTTGATTTGAGCAATTGGCCGGGTCGCAACTTGTTTCGTCAGTGAATATTATTCTACAGCAATAATGCAAATTCAATCTACATCATCGTTACTTTGGCCATATAAAACATAATGCGAATTGAACATATAAAGCTGAATTCACACCGGCTTCGCACAGAAATTCGGACCGAGTTTCGGATGCGCTGAACACCAACGTTCCTATTCTTAACTGTTGTCCGTGTGAATGCAACTTTACTGCGTAATTTGGCGTCGCTGTTTATAGTTATATATATAATTATATCATACAAATACTAACCTGATCTGCTACAGCACGACTCATATTCTTAGCTGCAAAGCCATTGAATATTACTCCCGTTTCATTTCGTAATAAATATCTATCAATAACAGTGAAACTAGGCTTATATCTCCTCTGGAAGTCTTGCACAGTTTTGTTAAGGTCTACTGAATTCTAATAGAAGTCAAATAAAATGGGCACAAATATTATTTCTCTATTTCATTCTATATATTTCAGGCAAATAAAAGTACAAAACATTACAAAAGCCACAACATTACTAAAAGTGGAATTGATGACAAAAAAGAAACGGTAGGTCTATCGATACATCAAATGCCAAAACGTTAAAAAGAATACACAAGCAAAGTGACTATAATAAGATAATCACATTTTAAAATAATCAAAAAATTAGGGCGAAATTCTTGTTCCCAAGTATTAAAATGTAGACTACCATATAAAGGTTGAACATGTCTTTTTGATAAAATGAAATATAATATTTTCCTTAAAGCCGACCCTAGATTTTTTAGTTGGTCAGTCTTTGGTAGAACGATGATTTTTTGGCATTATTTATACAAAATTGGAGATATTTTACATATTTGTAAACTGACCAATAGGCTACGTACAAGAGCTAATTTAAAAATGTACTATTTGAAATAGAAGAATTAATATATCTATAGTATTTTAAGTAAAACCGATAAAGCATGGTTGTATGTAGACTAAAATTGTTTTTTATGTATATGTCTACTATAGGCTAACCTTTGAGTACTTTATCATTTGCTTAAGTATTTTGTACGTAAAAATCAACCGAACGCCTTGGCGTAGCTGGGACGGTTACCCTCTTTAAATAAAAACTTAAAAATGGAATGTTAAAATATCTTACCTGAAGAATAACAATATATTGGTTTTCAATATGAGGGAAGACTGGTGAAGCATCTGCAGGCCTAGTTGTTTCGGCAACAATAGGTTGACGTTGGGCAAATCCCACAGCGGATGTACACAGGAGAAGAAATACAACGGCTTGATAATGCATCTTGATTAATCTAGCTTTCAAAAAAAAAAATTACAAATTATTCTAATTCCTCCATGGGTCAGGCAATATTCATTAAGGTCTTAGCCCCGTGGTCCCGTGTTCGAACCACACGCTGATCATTCTCGCAGCCTGCATTCTCGGCCGGTTATGATTAGCTTGTACTATTGACAGGCTGTGAATAGCCTTTGTGAATTTATTATATGGATTATAAATAAATAATTAAAATAAATAGTGGCCGCATCTCATCAATAAGGATGGTAACATTTCAATAAATATGGAAAACCAAGATAAAACCATTAGTAAAAATAATATCATCAAACATAAACTAAACGATAAACAAAATCATTTTAACCGTCTAACATTTTAAATTTGTACTGCGTAGCAGTCCCCGAGGCAATCGAGAAGGTTCCCCGATTCGAGCGACCAACCAGCATCACCAAAGCTGTCAGCTGTAGCGATTGTATGAAAACCAAGCTAAAAATAACTTACAAAACACTACCGTAATAACAGAAGTGTTGACATAATTATATTAAGTCATGCTACAAAAAATTAAAGCTTATGTTGAGAAGTTAAACATCTCAACTACGGCTAGATGCACGTATATTATCTTCACGAATAAAAGATGAGGTATACACGTAAACCAATAAAACGTAAGCAACGTAACACAAAATGATTAAAAAAAAAACTACAGTGTCTTCTGCTGTTATTTAGTGAAAGATTTTTTTAAAGTCAAGAACCACAACAAAAAAGCAAACTAATTTGCCTAGCTTTTTAACTAAGGAAGCTGCAGTCGATGTGATATGCTTGAAACATATTTTCAGAAGTTTTCTTTACAGATTTCTTAAATTAACAAACAAGTTATATCTTGTAATTTATGTGTATAGTAATTTAGAATAAGAAAATTAAAGCAAAAAGTTACCTTTGAGATCTTAGTTTCTTGGTTTCAAACAGTCTCTCTACAGTACAGTGTAGTGACGGGCGAGCTCTACAGATGAAGAAGACGCTACTTCACTTAGCGAAAGATACTTTTCTCTCGCGGTCAATGGTGCTTTATATACTTTCTAATACATCAAATGTCCAATGATTGCCCTGTGTATATCCGCATAGTTTGATAAACACCCATTACCTTCTGCCGCATTTTGTGGTTTTCGTTCTTTTTTTTAGATGCAGGATCTGGCTTTCTTTACGGCTCGTTGCTTTACTTCCCTGGACGTTATTTTTTCAAGTCGAATCGATTAGAGTCTTTTGTTTCTGCCAAGTAAAAATTATTTTGCGTTACGGAATACATCCGCAAAACAAACCACAAGATTACACAAACAATTATATACAGAATTATCTACTCTATGTCCGTATCCCAGAATAACATCTCCTAACTCTTTGCTATTTTTTCTATAGTAAGTTTATCATCTAGATTTTTCGATTGCTAATTCAATCAATTAATAATCAGTCAATTGTATTGTAATACACACACTACAACCGATGAAGTCCCATCGATTAGATGAACACGTAAACAAAAAATAATATATCGTTAGTAAAAAGTGCTACCAACTGATTTTGGTTTTTATTTAGTTAACTGTAACCATCACCATTATATAATCAAAATGAAGCGCCAACAAATTTCTCATGATGTTTTACCAGCGATTTTCGGTAACCATAGATATCTAATTAATATGTGAATATACTATAGAAAATAAATATTAACAACATTGTCTTTGATGTATTTAATTTAGGCCTACTTACTTAATACCATTAGTAAACACCATAGTTAAGGGCTGAGGTGGGAACATTTGTGGAAATAGTACCTCTAATTTGCCGGAAATGACACTCTTATATAATAAAATTCATCATCATCGATCAAATAATTCGCTATGATGTTCCATTGAAAATAAAACTCAATTGTCTTTGATGTATTTTTTATTTACTTTACCATGTACCGAAAACCAATCTTATTATTATTATTATTATTATTATTATTATTATTATTATTATTATTATTATTATTATTATTATTATTATTATTATTATTATTATTATTATTATTATTATTATTATTATTATTGCAACACGCTTTTTCTCATACTTCTCAAATAATAATAAAGGCACATGTACTCGAGTCGTGTATTATAAGTAATTCAGATGTTTGTGGGCAGAGATAGAGTACCGGTTGTACAGCACACTTTTGTTAAAACCTGGATCATTTATGCAGTTCATTTCAACAATATTCAGGCATCTTCTTGACTTATGAAATTATTACATTGCGGACGAAAAGTGAGGGGACCAACACCAGCACCTCAACAATAATTGGGGACGTGTCTCCCTGTCCCTTCTTGATCAGAGGCACCCCCTTCCATTTCAGATTTTTTGGAATTAGTAGACGGCTAGACGCTCTTTGATGACATCTGAAAAGAAGTTTAAAATAGAAAGTGTATGTTTTACGAGAGTAGCCACTACATGTAACATGTATACATGAGAAGCACACACACAAGACGAGTCACCATATTTTTTTTTTTTCTGGAGGTAACCGAAGTGGGGTGGCTAGCCACCCTATTCACCCTCCCCCAGATCCGCCACTGAGAGAGGGGATCTGTGCTGCCCATGCCTCACCCACTTATGCTCCTGTTCTTCTCGTCTGGACATCGGACCTTGGACCCCAACGCCAAATGTCCACCTCATAGGACGTATAATTAACAATCTTAAAATCTGCACCCTTGGTGAACTTACTTTACCAAATGAAGTATACATTTACTCACGAATTTTAATAAAATGGTTTGTCAGTAAGCCAACTTACATGAATCTTCACGGTGTTTTATCAGATTATTGGGTTCAAGCAGGCGTTCAATAAAGGCAAGGCCCGTAGCCGGGGGGGGGGGGTTATGGTTCGGGCGAACCCCCCTTTTCTAGCAAACCCCCCTGTTTTCTAGCGAACCCCCTCAAATTTTTGAATGAATCCCACTCGGACGGAATGTCACAATTTTAAATATTTAAATATAAACTATGAAAGTAAATACACGTAGATTAGATCAATAAAATGGACATATTAGGCTTAGTAATCTTTATCTATTCATTAACACGAATAACATTTTCAATATTCTAATCAATTTTTATATAGCCGGTGTTAGTTTCGACCTAGACAAACCTTTGCTAAAAAGGTACACTTTCTCCATGAAAAGGCTTCTTCTGTGAATGGAATCACCTGTTCGAAGCACGAACTCCTGTAAACCAAACCAAATACCGTTACGATGTTTAGTCGTACGGGAAATCCACTCGCCATGCAGTACCGTTACGATTTTTAATCGTACGGGATATCCACTCACGAAATATTTTCTAATTTTATTATATTACGACTTTTTATTACATAGATCTTTTTCAAAACATAATTGCTTTTAGAACATTATATAGACCCATTAAACACAAAAACTGCTCTGGCTTCGGGGGCTTCGCCCCCGACCCTATCGTAGCCCTTTGGCAGGCCTCTGGACCCCACGCCCAAAGAACCCCCCTTGAAATGACCTGGCTACGGGCCTGAAGGCAGCGCGTTTGCGGGAGCAGCAATGGTTAGCGTATGTAAATCTTAACGTAAATTGTGGGCCAGAAATAGTATTGACTGTGTTTACTCCAACAAAAAAATTATTAAAACTGCAACAAACCTTCAAGAAAATATTGGAATCGCCCATCGTGTTCAGGTACATTATTTTTGAGAGCTGCCTGAATACGAGCATGAGGTACCGTACGATTCCATTATTTTGTATTATGCTTGAGGGTAAATAATTGAGTTTCCGTGATCTTGACTTTGTCCTTTGACCCTTTCTTCCGAATATTTAATAGTGTCTTTTATTATATACCATTCCGCTAAATTTTATGATGATATATTTATTAGTTTTTGCATAATCTTGATAACAGACAAAGAGGCAGACGACAGAACGACAGAGAGAAGGCATAAAGACAAGACTGCATTGAATAGTAACTTTCTTGTGGAGGTGATACAACAAAACAATGTACAGCACTAATTGCAAAAGTCCTATCTAATTTATTCATACTACTATCAAACCAGTTGCGCAGCTGAGCTAAGCAATGGCGGCGTCAGCTGGAGGGTGTCGTGGGATTCCCCCTTCCAGGCCTGGAGCCCTCATCTGCCTGAATCTGAATAACGTTATTTGATAATCCCTAAAATCAAGGAGGTATAAATATATACTTCCTTGCTAAAATCGTGGTCTTAAAGCACAATTTTGGGCGATACTAAGCAATAAAAACCCTCCATGAACCCCGTCAGATTTTTATTCCGGGACCCTGATCGAAGCTCTATTCAGGTTCTTGGTTCAGACCGTGACCCTGTCAGACTCGTTGGACCTCTGTAGGCCGCGGAAAATTTGGGCCTACTAGTACTAGCAAATAATGCCGGCTAATATTCCGGTCCCGTAAAGGTCCGGGGCCTTGGCTTTAGTAAGTGGGAGAGCTCAAAACTGTTACGTCACCGATTTGCTTAGACCTTTATCTCGAAGAAATTCAATTTTAAATCACCGAAGGGGATTAAATTTAAATCCTTTTTGTAAGTGTCGGTAATACGTTGGTTACTTATGTAAGCATTGTCTTTTAAAGCTCATTGTAATTTCCGTATTGCTGTTAATTCTATACTATTTTGAGCGCACCGCATTAGCGTGTGCCACTGATCCAAAACTGTAGATTCAAATAAATATATTATTATCATTACAAATTGTTATGAATAATCAAGCGGATGTAGCTATTGGTAGTCTTTGTTTATTATCTATGCTATAATCCGTATAATCCGTTATGTTGTGCATTAGATTTCAAAGTTAAGGATCTTCTTGCCTAGTTTCTAAATCGGTATGTTAAAATATTCTTTTAATTCACAATTTTAAATTAATGTCCGTATTGACTTATTCAATAGCGATTATCGGATTATTTTTCAAAACAAATTTGACTAACGTTTGAATAATCCCAGTTCCTGTTGGACAAGTGTTGATTGGACAGTAGTTCATTGTCGGCAAAATGCTGACACGCCAATGCAAGCAAACAAAAAATATTCGACTGACCAATCAACATCACTAAAACCTGCAGGCGATAGCGTGTAGCGATTTTGTGGAAACCAAGCTTTATACAATAAGTCGGCGTAGATTCAAGTGCACATGCTTGTGTTTATTGCTTTTATTAACGCTTTTTAAAAATTTATTGCAGTACTACAAATACTATAAGTTAATATTGATACACAAATGTAGAAAGCTTAAACCGATGATTATTTTATATAAATTTTGTTTTCCTCTTTTTTTCAAATTTTTTATTGCCAAAAACATACACAATTGGCAATAGGAGGTTAAAAATAGATTTCTCTAATTGAGTAAATCACATTTACAGGTAACATGCAATTGCGGTAAATGCTCGAATAAGCGCCGCACCAAACCTGATTTTTTTTCTTTTCGATAAGCGCCGCTCGAATAAGCGCCGCTGCGCTTAATCTAAGTATATAGCCTATTACCATGGCCGCCAAGAGGGCAAATTGTAACGGGGCAAGCCGATTGGTGTGGCCCCCAGTTACGGTACAAGCGCGAAGTGCAAAGATTGCCCCGAAGGCGCAAAAAAAAAAAAAAAAAACCTTTTTTGGGGGGAAGGTGCAGTCAATCTGGAGGGGCCCATTATTGAGGGCCCGTGAGAGTAAGTATTATTTTTGAAAAAAAATAAATATTTATTAAAAAATAATAGGCCTACCTGCCAACCTCTCGGTGGCACTGTGAGACTCTTGAAAGGTAACATGGGAACGGGCATGGAAAGAGCCACGACAATATATAAAAGCTCAGCTTTCAATGCGTCGCATTGAATACTTTGATCATCTCGTGCAACCAAAACCGAATGACGTTAACTAAACAGTTGATGCGTCCGGGAGTCTACCGAGTTCGGCAGTTATCATCAAAAACTTTGGCGGGCTGGAGTTGGTCCGACGGCCGGGGGTCGAATACCAGGAGTAAAGTACTAATGTACTGTGTTGAAAGTAATTGCCGTTATGCTTGTTGTGCCGGCATTTCTAGATCGGAAATGAAGACCTGTATATTTTATGATCTGTACATTTTTACGCATTGTAAACATGCGCACTTAACTACGAGATAGCGTATGTTTGTAAAATATTGTGTGATGAACAAATAAGAAAACACGCCCAAATTTTTATCCATGATTTTAATTTTTTCCTTTGAATATACTATAATATATTTATATTTTACATTTGAGGATGTGATAAGAAATAAATCACAAGTCAAATAAAGTCAAATCGTAAATATCACATTAAATGATGTCAGAGATTATATAAATAAACTAGATTCATAAACAATAATTTTAAATGATAATAAAAACGTTTTAACACTTAAATTAATGCGCGTGACTGTTAATATGTAAAAACACGTGGCTTCAGTAAGTTTGCTCGTAAGCGTCAGTGGCGTATCTAAAGTCTTGAATTGTGGGGTTATACACATCTAGATGTTAAGGGGCGCAAAATATGGTTATTTTTAGGTGATTTTTAACTACTTGACAGTGATTTTTTGGGGGGGGGGGGCTGGGGCGCGAGAGTAATTTTTTTCCGCGCCCTCCCTTAGATACGCCACTGGTAAGCATCATTGACATAATTTAACTGAAGTCGTAATCCACGGCTGTATGTGCTTCACCGTTTATGGATGGATTAAATCATCATTATCACATTAAATGAAGCCAGTTTAATATAAAATCTAAACTAGATTTGTAATAAGTAATTTTAAACGATATAGAAACTTTTTACCACTTAAATTTGTTCGCGTGACTGTATACTATACAAAACACGGGACTTAAGTTATGATGCTCGTAAGTCGTAATCCACAGCTGTTTCTGTTTATACCGTTTATGGATAGGGGGAGGTATAAAGAAGGTGGTTATTGGAGCTGAAAGCCCAGGCGATTATACTGTTAGTTGATGTCGTGGACAGTGTTGACCTCACCTGCTCTGGCGTTAATCCTGGCTCACGGTCCCGGATGATCGCTGCAACACCTGAATAAAATCAAATAATAATCGTTACAAAATTCAAAAACACGACCAACGGTATTTTTGTCGAAAGAGGACCAACACCACTTTCGACACTCGACTATCAATTATCGACATCGTAAATCATAAATCGCCAGCCATCAAATAACTGACACCTAATTACCAATTATCAATCAACAATAAAAGTCAATCATCAATTATCAGTTTAAATATTTACCGACTACTTGACGCCCTGTCGATTGTTCTTAATCATCTCTTATAATTTACTAGTTATCGACTATTAGGCCCCACTCGACAGCGATTAAGTTTACTTTTGGGGTGTCCTTGTCTCGTGTACTTTTGTGCATGTTCTTTGCTGTTTCTGTCTTTGTAAATGTTTATGTTTTGAGACAATTGAAATGAAATTCTTTGTCATTCTTAATCATCGATTATAATTTACCAGTTACTATGGAACGAACAAAGATAATCGACTATTATTGGTTATTCTTTACATCTGTATGGATAAACGAGATAATCGATAATCGTTCGAAGTTAACAATCAATGATGGTTTATCAACTAATAGTTACTAATTGTCAATTGACCATTATCGACCATCGCTTTTTACTTTCACACAGTCAAAGGCTTACTCTATTGTTAATAACTGTTAAATTTAAACAAATTTATAAAATAAGGTATTAACGGCAAAATACGTCGTATGAGTATATTTATGTTAGAGCGTTTGATATTATACTTGCGCGTGCTAAACTACGAAGTAGCTTGTTTTACCTGCAACGTGTGCAACAGCGTATGATGTCCCGTACACCACGGCAGTGGCAGTATCACTGCCTATGAATGTAGTTGTTATGTTGGAGCCTGGTGCAAAGATGTCCACACAGGAACCGTAGTTAGAGAACAAATCCCTTACATCGTAAGCGTCAGACGATGCCACTGTAAAAGCCTGTGGAATGCAACCAAAATACCTACTATGTAAAGTCTAGTAGAAATAAAATTAGATTAGAGATTATGAATAAAGCTATATAACATTATTATAATTATACGTCTAATATGCCTAATTGAAATAATTATTATCACTAGTATTATAATTAATAATAACAATAACAATTATAACAATAGTAGTAGTAATAATATTATGATTGTTGTGTTATGATTTTTAATGTTATCATTAAGCTGTACTGTAAAATGCTCTTTCGGATGGATAATGGAACTTTCCGAAATGTCAATTAAACTTAACAACTGGCCAATCAGAACGGGACCCGGAATACGCGCGTGTCTCAAACGCACGTTTTTACGTAAAATCCTGAAATTGGGCAGTTTTCGCCGCACACGACGGTAACCTTAACGTTAACGGATGATGTCGTAATTTATTCATCCTGCGTTGTGGAGTACGTTAATTTCTGGATTTTACGGGCTCGACGTGCGTTAGTTACGGGTTTGCGCATGCGTATTTTGATTTGTTTACAAAAGGGGCGGAGCTATAATGCGCTGCATGTTGGGTACTAACGTCGTGCGGCGAAAACTACCTATTATTAACGTTCTCCGCAACGCCAGATGAATAAATTATGACGTCATCCGTTAACGTTAAGGTTAACGTCGTGCGGCGAAAACTACCTAGTAACAATATCCAGGGGTATCTTAGCGGAAAGGTCCATTATTTATCGTGCATTACCCGATCAGCGGATGCCGGAGAGAGTACTGGTGTTGGGAATGGGCAGGCATTGTATCCCCCATTGCCTGCTGACACGATCACTGGGATATTAAAGAAGGAGTCAATGTCGTTCACAAGGGTGTTAAAAACCGGTTGGTAACCAGTAATAAGCGGCATCAATATAACTGCAGGAAATTGGGCGTTGTAGGCTGTCCAGATAAGACCTGACCATAAAAGATAAACATAGTCAATCAATCAATTAATCATCAATCAACCACATCATTATCACCATCTTCATCAATCAATCAATCAATCGATCGATAAACATAAATCCATACGCTTTAAGAATTATACAGGCCTACTCGTAACGTTTAACGTATACGTCTATATATTAAATTTGAAACATGTTTTGAATCATTGTACCATATTATAATAATATAACGTTATGAATATCTATAAATATTTGATCGTATTATCATACAATCAGAATAATATGGCAAATTACAGATGGTATCGTAGGACAAAATTACCATAAAATACTGTTGAAAGGCTGCCTGGCGTAACTTTGACGGCATGTAATCTAGCGCCTTTAGCAACTCCATACCGCCTCCCTCCTGCAATGCCAGCACACTTCGTACCATGTCCAGTGTCGTCAACATAGCCCTGGAAATTTAATATACAAATACAACATGGTTTGAGAGGTGAAGTAGTGAATGGACCTTTTCGGAATGTCAATCAAACTTAACAACTGACCAATCAAAATAGAGCCTGGAATACGCAGGTTTCTAACAATTAGCACACGTGTTGTCCGACAAACGCACGTGCTTGCCTATGTGTTAACATTGAGGAGCTTTCGATTGGTGCGAAGACGAGATGCTAGTAAAGAACCACTCATGCGTCCTACGTTCTTTGCATATATGTTGATTTGGCCAAATTGCGTCCTAGAATCCACACTATGGGAATTTAACTTTCTCGCATGCGCAGACGACTTTTTAGTGACGTTGTAGGCCTATACCTTCTACGTCCTACCGTCGTCGTGCAATCGAAAGCTCCGGCCCTATTATCGTCTTGTGGGACCTTAACAACAATATGGGCCGGGCTTAACGCAAAGGTACATCCCCAGCCGGGTGTTGAATGATTTGGGAATGGAACCAAATCATCAAAGTACACCAAGGAAGTTAAATTCACTATTTTACCGAAATAAAATCGAGTCGAATGGCCGAGCGGTTAGGGCAGGGGCAACGCAACCTACAGCCATATTGGCGCTTGTTAAAACGGGACGCTCGCCTGTGGTTCTAGTGGTGGAACAAGTCTTCTCGGATAAGGACTATAAACAGCAGGCCCAGTGTACTGAATTGGCTCATGTGCACTTTAAAGAACCCATTACATCTTTCGAGACGAGTAGGGGTACCCCGGTGTACTGATCCATACAGCCCCTGTTACCCTGCGCTTACGGACCATTAGGTCCTTTGCAGGATGTACCTAGGTAAACGTAAACCATATCTCATAAACAGGCCTACTGTTGCACATTAAATCGTGATTTTGATTTTTAGTTCCAAAATTTAGATTTCTTTGAAGGTCAGAGTACCTAAATCGTTCAGCATGGTAGCCTACACACAAGGAAAGTGGGTCTTCAAAAATATTTCTAGTAGTTTTCTTTATGTCCATTGATGAACCTTTACCCAAATATTTCTTGGATCCAATAAGTGAACTTGTTTAAGAGTGCCTTGGTTGAAAGTATAGTCACTGACCTGTCCCGTGAAATCAGCATCAAATATGGCTCTGCCATTGAAGTCTTCGTGAGTAGTTAGAATACCGGAGTCAACAACATAAATATGAGCATCGTTACCAAATCCTATTTATACAAAACAAATAATAGGTCTATTGTCATGAGTGATTATTATCTATTATTTTGTTTTTCTTAATTAACCCATGTGAATCTGTAATGCTGTGAAGTGATATTAAAATCTGTCTGCTTCCCTTTTCAAATAAAATCTTTACTAAGACACTGGGGATAGGCAACAAGACAGTACAGCACTAACCGACAAGTGCCGGATACAATAAATAACACTACACTACACCAGCAACAATTAAGACATAATCGATAATTAGTTATTGATTACCCTGCACCTCAGTTAGCAGTACACGTACGTGTCTGAGCTGAATTCGTTTTCTCCTATTATTGGTTTTTAATAACATTTTAATAATTTACAGTCCATACGCTACTGCATAACATAATACCGTAGCACGTCGGGTTTCATATGTGTAAAATCACACCAAAATAACACACAAACATATCTTAAGATGGCAACAAGATATTTCCTAAGCTTACAGTCATCTTACCTTCAGGTATAAAATGGTCGTCTAGGGGTAGGGAATGCTGGTCGATACGATCCAAACCCCAACTCAACGAAGACGGTTTAACCTCCACATCTTGAATAACTGATCTCACCCTTGGGTCTCTAGCGATCTGCAGAAACATTATTGGTTAACAAAGTTTACTTACATTATAGTGTTACAACTCTATATTTTTTAAACACTCAATAATACCCACAGCACCAAACAATTAGTAGCATAATAGACTATCCCATATTGTCAACCAACTGACCAAAAACAGAGACCAGAAATGTCCCCAAACACAAGTTTACGTACGTTTACTTTTGCAGGACAACAAATCAAGTCCATTTAGTGAAATACGTATAAGGACAATTTTACCAACCTTTTTTGCTGAATCACTGCTAGCATCTTTTACTAGAAATCCTTTAAAAAGGGCATTGCCTCTTTTGGTTAACACAAATTCCCTATCGGCTGCGAAACTACTACGTTCGCTCAACGCTCTTCGAGTTTGGCCAAGATTCGCTGAATTCTAATAAAAATCAATTAAAACATAAAATAATTCTTACATAAACATAGTTAGACTTTAGGATTTAGGAACATATTTCTTAAATTTGGTAAAATCGCAGTGTTTTAATGTTAATTATTGTATAACAAATAAAGTAAAACATTTTTTTAAAATTCTGATATATTTAAATTGTTGTTAATTTTTAAAAAATTAACACGACTATTGCGTTGCCAATATATTGTTTATTTTTTTGCCAATTTGTGCGTCGCTAACACTCACACTCTCACGACCTATGCCAGGTCATGATGAGAGCAGCTAAGAGCAACTTGCTACGTGACAACGAAGAGGGTCGTGGATGGTTGCGGAGTTTCCAACATGTTGAAAAATTTATTGTGGTCGCCAGTCTGATCGTAGTCGCTGTCACACATGTCGTAGTCATTTGGCTGAGGGCCGATTCCGGACCATGTGCTTGCTAGCTATTTATACCACCAGTTGAAGCGAAATGGACATTATGACTTTCTACCAATAAATTACACGAGGTGTTTCTATGCATATTAAATGATTCAAAGTTAATGTTCATGCTGGGGTAATTCTACGACGTACGATCGGAGGGGCTGGTGAGAGGGTACAATCGGAGGGCAGGTCTCCGGTAGGATAAGACCGCAGGTCGGTACGGTTGCAGTGGTCGCAATAAAGTGAGAGTTGTTAAAAAAATGTTTTATAAACAATTCAAATATTGAACTCACATGCAAGACTACAATATATTGGTTTTCCACAATACGAAAACTCTCCGAGTCCTCCGCCGGATGCATTTTAGGTTGAGCAGACCCCAAGGCTGAAGTACTCAGAAGAATGAATACAACGTTTACAAAATTCATCTTGATAACTCTGTATTTCAGCATCAAAATGAATAAGAGCATTTTTTGGAAAACATGGAAAAGTTGCAGATTAAATGTTCCTGTCCAAAGAAAATAAAAATGTGTATGCCTATACTTGAGGAAAGAAATTGATCTTATTGAAACATACAAGTACATCAACAATTGCTAAAAGCAACCGCCTGTTCCTCACTTTGTATACACCCAACGTTCCGGTCTTAGAGGTCACTCCAAGAAACTTCATAAATTAAAATTCAAATCCGACGTATGAAAGCAGTTTTCTTTAGCAACAGAGCTATTAATAATAATATTTATTTGGCAATCATCAAGAACATTATAGCCTGGAGTGAGAATATGCACAAGCCCAAACGTATCAAGTAATACAGCCATAGTTAAAATGAACAAACATGTACATAGAGTGTGTGTATGAATGGAACTGGAAAGATAAGAAAAACAAAACCTACCAAAACCAAAAATTCAAGGCAGTGTTATGGCTCCTGTTAATGAGCACGATGCTAGCTCTCCACATTTGCGAAACAAGCCCTTTGCTAACACTTTTCTCAGCCCCAGATGCTTTATATTTTTTTCTGCACACCATGTTATCCAATAAACGCTCGTTGTGAATCCGCATAGCTTGCTAAACCCCACTACTGTTTGGTAAAATGCGTTGGCTTATTTTCCCCGTATCATTTCCCCGCTGTATATCTTAAGTAGGGTTTAATATAAATTTTGGATTTAGTTTCATTGGTGGCTCATCTCTTGGCATCTTCTGGTTATATCTTTCATAAATTCTAAGATTTTATTTTCATCCCTGTCAACTAAAGTTTAATTTCAATTCATTTACCACAAAATCCACCTACAACAGACTGCAAAACCAAGATTCTCTAGAAAAAAAACATGTTTTTATACAAACAATAATCTTATTATACCCTATATTTCTAACACTAAAATTCGGAAAGAATTATCACTTGAGATAATACATAAATATGTAGGTGTGTTATCGCTATAATTCCTATGAAGGTGCATCTAAAGACTTTTAAAACGCTATATTATACAAAAGTGATTTATTAAACTGTTGAATGGTAGTTTATTGGAATCTTTGTGGTTATCTTGGATTTGAGGTTAAATTCTACGTGATCTTAGATTTAATCTCCAAGATGACAGATCTACAGAAACAGCTTCAAAAGAAACATACAAGAGGCAATTTGAATTTGGGTTACCATCTTGAATTTGAGGCAGGATTTTGAGTATTGCTCACCAAGTTTATTCCTAATAATAAAAATTTAAAATAACAGATACACAGAACTTTGGCCATTTTAGATTTTTGCCACTATTTTATTAGAATGCTTGAGGGTTCTAGTTAATCAGATGGTAGGCCTATGGGTTCAGGTTGATGGAACCACTAAGAAAACCTAATGACATTGTTTTCTTTCCCTGTCTTGTACTGTGTGACTCGGATATCGCTGGAGTCCTAGTAAGAGGTAATGTCACGTGCATTATGTCGTAAGCAAGCAGAAGACTATAAATCAGGGGTTGCGCAAGTGGGGTGGGGGAAGGGCTCCGTCGGGGAGAAAAATGATATTTATTTTTTTACATAGGCCTATTTATGGATTCTAAAATCGGCAAGCCTGTGAAACACCTAAATTGTCATATTTTTGGGGGCTTCGGCTTCTGGACCACTTCCGAACGATTTTGAGCGACGCAAGGCACCGTACGCCCACTTTGATATATCTCGTCGGGGACATTGGCCCCTCGTCAGGGACCTCAAACCCGTGCAAATCCTGGCGCCACTCCCTGTTTTTAATTAACGTTCGCTAAGTGAATTGCCATCGTCTAAGTGTTAAAATAACAATGTATGTAATTCCATTCTGCAGGCTGAGTTTATGTACTGAAAATAATACTCTCGTACAAGCACACAACATTTCTATTTTAGATATTCTAACTGAAACATAATGTTCATTAAAAAAAAAATAGCACGTGAGGGTAACTAAATTTACAATAGTATGCTTAAAGTGAAAGATGTTCAAGTTTATCTGTATATGAGGTTTAAGAAGTTGAAGTTCCTGAAGCATTGGCACTTATTAGGCCTAATGCCTGAAGAATTTCATTTTTAAGAAAACTTGATATATTCATTCGGTAATTATCTAGGACGTAGGCCTAGACCTACATAAATATTTCTGTAGAATTTCGATTGAATATAATATGTAGGCCTACTAAATTCCTAAGAAATGGTACCGGAAACTTGATTTCGTAGATGGACAGAGAGACACTGATATTTAATTCTTCATGAGATTGGAAATTTTAAGGAAAAAAAATCATATATCAAAACAAATTGGTGGAAAGACTAGAGAAAGAGAAAACAATCCGTTGGAAATAATTATCTCGGTGATCTTTTATTCAATATCAGTGGCGGCTCCAGCGAAGGGCAGGACAAAATTACAAATTTCAAAATCTCTAAAAATTTCTAGGTTTATAGGAAAGGGCCTATATATTATTAAAAAAAAAAAAAAAAAAAAGAAGATTTGTAGTGCACTTATATTAACATCGATGCAGAAAAATTCAGAAACATCGGATCGGGTATAGCATAATATTGCAAAGCCCCACCCCCTCCACACACACACAAAAAAAAAAAAAACCAACAAAAAAACAGCACGGCGACTGGAGAGACTGTATTACTTCACGGCGCGATTTGTGACTGGACCAAGAGCCTACTATCGCTGCTTGGAAGTCAAGGGTTATCATTACACGGTACAGTACATCAATACACATGTTTCGGAGAGCTTAATAACATACATTTTAAGATGAGTACATACTTTTACCGAACTCTATGGAATACTGTCAGGACACACAATAAACCGTGGAGGTAGATTAAGTTTTTAATTGTTGTTGTATGCCAGCATCCATACTCCTTCCTGAGTTATGCCCCACTCTAGGCTAGCTATTCTCTAGCCGCAACCAGCCGGGCCGGGCCGCGCCGTTTAGGCTTAGCCTAGATAAGCCCTTAGGCATAGCCTAATATTTGGCCTAGGCTAGGCTTAGCCGACTGTGCGTCCAGGCTTTGCCTACAGTACTAACGTTTTTGTTGTTTCATGGCTTTGTCTGATTCTTCCTTCATGATTTAAGGTTTCAGAAACTGCAAACACAGCATTTGAGATTGAGGTGCACTTGCATTCACTCGAGGGCGCTATGCACCAGTCCCTTGCCCTCTCCAACTTTGGATGGTGAGCCAAAAAATTACTCTGAAAAGATAAGGAATATAGTTGAAGAAATCGCTTCACTAAATTTACTAGAAGTTTCACAGCTTAACCAGCATTTAAAGGTGAGATTGCATTTTACACAGATGTAATTCAGCTCAAAAATGTTTTTCATCAACACACTTAGGCCTTACTGTAGAGAGAGCAGCTTAGCTCAGTTGGCTAATCTGGTGGTAGCCACTGTGTGTGCGCAGAACCGTGGAGGTCTCTAGGTCCCCGGTTCAATTCCCATCGCTGCCTCTCCTTTTGTTTCAGGTGGACAGCAGAAATACAAATTACAATAGCACGCCATTCTTTGGATGAGACGTTTAAGCCGTTGGTCCCTTGTGCATTTATGGCCCATGTGCACGTTAAAGAACGCAGTACACTCTTTGGAAAAGAGTAGGGGATTGTCTCCCGGTGTACTGCCCAATCACCACCAGAAGGACCCTACTGGAAATAAGTCTTCCTCTAGACTTTTGTTGGCTATCCTTGGTGTTTACACTGAATAAATCCAATTCAATCCACTGCAATGAGGCACACTAATAAAAAGTTAGTTAATTGACATTGATAAGGATCTCCATACAAAACATACTTACATTTACATATACATTGTTTTCATTCATATTATATTCTGGATAAATTCATTATTCATAGCAGTTGTTCCTTTTTTCGCCATAGGAGACCCTCAATATACAAGATGCACCTGTTATGGCATATGGAGCACCACCATCACAAGCTCAACAAAAGGTAAAAATACAGCAGTTGGAGCTGCAATATGCCTTGGTCAATGGTAGTTAAGATGTTTGTTTATAGTGCTAAGTCGAAATCCACTTTTTTTTAACACAAATAATGTATTCCACCTTTAATCTTCGAGTAGCTATATTTTTCTATATGTCTCCATATTTTGGAGTCATTATATTTTGTATTCACTAAATTTAAGTCACTAATATATTTTTAATAATGTTGTTACACAAACATCAAAATGTGAATAAATAGATTATTGTATTTTAACACAAATAATATAATTTCACCTTTAAGCCTCTTTATCTTGTATTTTGGAGTTTATTTTGGCATCACTATATGTTGGAGTCTCTATACTTTGGAGTCACTAAAGTTAGGAGTCACTACTATATCTTTAATAATGTTATACAACATTTGAATAAATACTATAGATAATTTACTGTTTTTGAAAACACAAATAATATAATTCCACCATAATTATAATCAAATAAATTTCTTATCCAGGAGGAAGAAGATGAAGACAGTGCACCAGCTAAAGAAGTAAAAACATCTTTTACAATAACGCTCACCAAATTTGATGCTGCCAGCAAGGTGAAACTTATAAAAAGCATTAAAGCACTCAATCCTACAATGAATCTTGTACAGGTAAAGATTGCAACAGTATTCAATTATAAATTTGATGCATGGTGTTTTCTAGTTCTATTCAGTTACTCATCAGCACCTGTATAGCATCTTGATGAGTCCACAGTGACAGGGGCTGTGAGATGGGCCAGTACACCGGGGTAATGCCCTACTTGTCTGTACTGCATTCTTTAAAGTGCACGTGAGCCAATAGGGTACACTGGGCCTACCATAGGTGAGCGTGTTGTTCGCACCAGCGCCGATATTATGGCTGTAGGTTGCAGTGTCCCTGCCTTAAATGCTCAACCATTCGTTTTGCTAGGAGTATGTTCACACACAACATCTAAATGTTATCATTATATGGTCTTGGAGGCAGTTACACAGGGCAATAATGTGAAGTGCTGTGAAATGGTTGGCGGAAAGGACATTATTATTATTATTGTTATTATTACTTCTATTATTATTATTATTATTATTACTATTACTATTATTATTATTGGTATTATTATTATTATTTGATTATGTTTAGTTTTATATATATATTTATCAACATCATTATTATTATTATTATTACTATTACTATTATTATTACTATTATTATTATTATTATTATTATTATTATTATTATGTTTAGTTTTATATATACATTTATCAACATCAAAAATGTGACTTTCATTGCAGGCAAAGAAGTTTGTTGAGTCCGTCCCTCAAGTATTAAAGGCTGACGTAGGAAAAGATGAAGCAGAAGATATAAAGAAACAGATAACAGAAGTTGGAGGAGAATGTGAAATAGAATAAAAGACCATACCTTAACAAGCCAATATCATTATTACCTGTCTCTTATACACATNNNTCCCCACGAAATGAGACGCATCGTTGGTGAAATCATATTGAGATATTCACCAAAATAGGTCAAAGGCAACATTTTTACAAAATTTTGATTTTAATGTTTTTGAATAACTTGATACTTATATTTTATGATTGTGTACTTTTTAAGTGAATTTTCTTACTAAAACAGTATTCTCTTCGCATATTCTCTAATTCTAGTCCTATTATTTGTACAGGTTAGTTTATCTTTGAGGCCGATTTTCTCAAAACCTGGTTCTCATACACCTAAACTTTAAATGCTAACATCTCTGGATCTATTTATCCTAGTAAAGCCATTGAAAGACCAAATTAAAGCTTATAATGTGATCTACCAAAATGTAATATTAACTCATTTTTTGATTTTCTAACGATGAGACTCATTTTGTAGTGAGACCTCACATTTGTGTCATGTGCCCATATGTGGGCATGGTGATGTCATACTATACCCAAATATGGGCATATCATTTTTTTGTAACTACAGTTGAAACACCAGTAAACTTCTAAAGCTTTTGTCCACGCTATCAAATTCTATGTAACAAATTTGTGTGGTGTGCCCATATGTGGGCATGAGATGTCATAGTACACCCAAATATGGGCATATGTTTTTTTTTGTCGTGTGAAAATTTGAAAGTGTAGACAAAGCTCTAATCACTTACTTGTGAACATTGTCAAATAGTTCACTAATGCTTCATTTTTTCATTTATTTATTTCTCCACAAAACACAATATTATCATAAAAAGAAACAGTTTATTGTGGAAGGTAGGCCAAAGTAAAGCATTGCTCATAGGTTTTATTGGCCAAGATATACTGGCCTCAAATACTGAGGTGTTTCAATAATTTTAAGGCATGTATCTGCGAGATTAGGTACTGCAATATGCTTTGGTCCGACTAGTGTGCTGAGAGGTATTACGATTAATGAAGGATAACCAGAAATCCAGAGTCAAAAAATTCTCAAATTATCTACGCGTTTACATTTGAGTTTCCTACTGTTGAACTTATGTACTGGATTCTTTTAAATAACCACAAACATGAGAATAAATTCCGATTTTATTCAAGGAAAAAAATAACTTTCATTGAATATCATTATGTACATGGATTATATAAATAAAAAGATGCATGTTTGATATGATCACTCTAGCTTGTAATTTTTTATAACAGTAGTTTGGAATAGTCCTTTGCCCAGCAAGAAAACAAATACTGTATACATACAATTTTGCAAACATAAGACGAAGTACATATACAGGTATATTAATGTTAACACAATCAAAATTCACAAGCAATATCAATATGCAAGCATGCAATGTAGGTGTTTGAGGGCGCAATTTAATTGATTTCAAGTTTACGGGCCTTTCTCTCAATGGCGGGAGGCAGAGGGGAAACCCACCCCTCCATCGATGGGCATGTTTGGACCAGACGCCATCACGCGGTTAGATTAAAAATATAATTTTAAGGAACCAAACAAAATCCAAATGAACATTATGATGCCAATCCCTAAATAGTGGCCCGAGAAAATCTTTTTACTTGCAGTAGACGGTCATTCTTGCAAGTATTTTGCAGCTTTTTATATAAGATGGAAATGAGGAAAGTGTACTAAGTGTAGCTCAGATTTTCAGTAAATGAAGGTCATGTAAATAGATATAATATCACAAGCTCCCAT